ATCACATGAGAAGCCTCTTACAAAAACCAAATAATTGACTTTAACTTTAGAGCATTAATATATATTTATTTTCTTTTATTGTTATGAGTATCGGATTCAACTTAATATAACTTTTCTATATAAAATACTAACGACACGTAATACTTATATATATGGGTGTACTTGTAATAAAAAAAAGTCCACCAATATAACTATAAATAACTATAAAAAAATAAATGTCCTTTTGATTTGGTAAAAGTTGAAAGGCATGGATGGTTTCCACGTCCTAGGATATGATTTAATATATATATATATATATATATATATATATATATATATACAACAACAACAACAACAACAACAAAACCCAATTCCCATATGTATGGGGTAAGGGGGAGGTAGGGTAGTAGGCTACCCCAACGCCAGGTTGAGAGTAGCTTCCGTGGAAGACCTCCGGCAGTTAGAAAATTAAAAATTTAGATAAAATGCAATGCATGTATAAATAAATACATAAATACATAGCTAATCAGTATTCATATGCAGTCATTAAAATCATATGTGCGTCTGTAACTGGAATTTATCCCTGCATAATAATCCCTGCGAAAGAATCTCTGCATATAGACAGAAACATAAGATCCGGCTAATTTAAAAGAGGAAACATGAAGAGAATGATACACAGAAGTCAACGTTAGCAAGCCCAGTTCTAATCCTTCATAAATACCAATAACAGAAACGTATTAAAAGTATAAGTCATGGAAAATACTACAAAGACATTAAAAGAAGACAGAGATGATACACCCTATAGATGTGACCCACACTACTCGACTACCCTAGTCTTTAGCCTCCATATTTCCTATCAGAGTCATGTCTTCGGTAAGGGCTAAATCCCTCAAATCAGATCTCAAGCAGTCTTCCCACTTTCGCCTTGGTCGTCCTTTCCTTCTGGCACCGTCGACTGTAATCGACTCTACCCTCCTTACCGCATCCGACGGTAGTCGCCTAAGGACATGCCCAAACCACCGTAGTCTTCCCTCCCTCAATTTTTCGGAAACAGACACCACCCCCAAGGACATCCTAATAGCAGAGTTTGTCGTCATATCCCTCAGAGTCCTACCACATGTCCATCGAAGCATTCTCATTTCTGCGGCCTCAATCCTCCTCACGTGATCCTTCTTGGTTGCCCAACATTCTGATCCATACAACAGCGCTGGTCTTATTGCCATTCTATAAAATTTTCCCTTAAGTTTTAGAGGGACCTTCTTGTCACACAGAACTCCAGTAGCGGCCCTCCACTTTAGCCATCCCGCCTTTATACGGTGTGTAACGTCATCATCTACACCCCCATCTTTATGTATCATAGACCCTAGGTACTTGAAACAATCCTTTGAGGGGAGAACGTGTCCTTCTATGCATACTTCTACATCTTCATCATTTTGGTTCCCATTGAAGTTTGAACATACATATATATTAAGATACATTTAAATAATATAAAATTTTATAGTTTTACATGGATTTAAGATCATTGAATAAGTGAAAATAGATGAATGAGATTGGTTCTTTGTTTTTCTTCAGTGAATATTTTCTCATTTCCTACTGTTAATCCTAACTATCTATTTTCATTCACCAACGATCCTAAATCTGTGTAAAATTAAAAACATTTTACATTATACAAAATTTTTAGTGTTATACTATTTTTTTAAATAGTTTGGGTGATTATAAGGTAATATTTGTTCATAATCGTTCTTAACTATTGGCAACGTACACACAGTGCAACCATAATTGCTCGAATCTATGACTTCAAAGGAGAACAACATTCTCTTTAACCACCGAGGTCACTTAATATGTTCAGTTTTATATTATTTTAGAAGAAAAATTCTACAACGCTTGTCGAGCGTGGATGAGCACCGCTAACGATGAGCAACACTAAATTAATTTATAAAATGTTAAATTATAAAGTACTAAACGTATAATTATAAATTAGTTAAAATTTTAAATAGAATTTAATTAAAATATAATGTTTATAAAACATTAGTTTTTAGGGTAAACTATACAATTCACCACTTAACTATTTACCCATTTTACTTTAACCACCGATTTTTCGATTTTGTTAATCAGCTCACCTAACTATTTAAATCTTATCAATTAAGCCACATGCCGTTAAATATTAAAGGAGGAGATGATGTGGCAGTTAATAAAATTTGTATAATTATACATTTAGTCCTGATTCTTACATATTCTATTAATTTGGTCATAACTTTTAATTAATTTAATAAATTTAATCCTCAATCAGATGATGTCATGTGTGAATATGTTTTATAAATATTATATTTTAATTAAATTATATTTAGATTTTTAACTAATTTATAATTATATATTTAATATTTTATAATTTTACATTTTGTAAATTAATTTAATATTATTCATTATTAACCGTCTGTACTCGTAAAACGTGACAACATCATCCATTTTATAATGGTTAGAAAAGTAAAAATAAACTATTGTGATTTTATCTTTATTATAGGATAGGTTCGAAAAGGTTGACTATTATTTTTGTTGATATTATTATTATTGTAATATATACGGGATTGTGGATGTGAGTATACTTGCATATAATTACATGTCTAGTTTTTTTTAAAGAAAATAACTTCAGTGACCAAAAATGCCTTATAATATACGATTTTAACCAACTTTTTTTGGATTTTCCAAAATGACCAACTAAATCGCAATGCGATCGATAATTCGCAACGCGATCTCCGGTATCACAAATCAGTTTCCAGATTCGCAACGCGATTCTGACTATCGCATTGCGATTTTCCAAATTCGCGTTGCGATTTTCCTAATTCGCAAAGCAAATACGTAAATCGCAATGCGAATACGTAAATCGCAATGCGAATACGAAAATCGCAACGCGAATCTGACTATCGCAATGCGAATCTGACTATCGCAACGAGATTCTGACTATAGCAACGAGATTCTGACTATCGCAACGCGATTCTGACTATCGCAACGCGATTCTGACTATCGCAATACTGAATTTCAAATTCGCAACTCGATTTTTGAATTTGCTACAGGTTTTAGTTTCGCAACACAAATGTTTTGGGTATATAACTACGCAGCAGCAGTAACTCATAACCTAAATCCCTAAATCGCAACTCATTCCATCTCCATCTATCACTCTTTCCGGCGACATCCGTTCCTATATCCAACGACATCCTTCCCCATCTGGCAACAGGTTTTAGTTTCGCAGCTCGTTTGTTTAGTAAATTAATTTACAATAATGAAATCATCTAATGTTGATCATGTTTGGATAGATTTGTGTCTTGGAGGGTTATGGGAGAATGTTCATGGTGTTTTACAATATATGCCTTTACCCATGAATCTTCAACTAAAACTGTCATGAAAAAAGTTAACTTATGAAACTCTAATGTTACGTATTGCAAATAAATTGAATTTAGATCCCCTAAGTGGATTTAGGCTATCTTATCAGAGAAATGGTAAAGTTTATTTGTTAACTGACAATGAAGATGTTGAACGATTCATTGCTTACTTTAGTGTTTCAAGTGATGATGTTACATTGTATGTTGTTGAACCTAGAAGTAGTGAAGTTGGGTCAGTAGCGGGTAATAATCAACTAAGTTTTTCAACCCCAGTTTATGATGCTCAAAATTTAATGGTTCCATCACAATTTCATCACCAAGCAAATATTGTTTCACCACATTTCCAATACCAAACACAATCTCAAAACCCACAACCTTTCCCTAATCCAAATCCCAATCAACTTTCAGCACCAAATTCCAGTTTTCGTATTGACCAGTTAGACGATGATGAGCCAACAGAAAAAATTGTGAGTACTAGTCAGTATTCGAAATTTGATCTTGGTCAATACTCGGACTTTGATCTTGGTCAATACTCGGATTTTGATGATTTTTCAGAAAAAGAAACAGACCCTGCGTGTAATGATTTTGATATTGGTCAATACCCGAATTTTGATGGTGAAACAGCCGTTGCCGAGGAAGATGTTGTTGATGATAATGAGGAGGAAGTTACGACTGTAAATGAACATGTTGAACATTCATTCTGTAATTCATATAACCCTGAAGAAGAAGAATAAGAAGAAGAAGAAATCCCCAAAGAAAAGTCCCCGAAGAAAATACCACGGGAGTATAACTGAAATATGCCAGAATTACTTCAGATACCGGAAGAAGAGTTGGTAAAGATAGCAGTTGATTGTTACACAAAAATTATTCGTATCAAGAAAGATGATTGTTTTGATACAAAGGAAGACTTGAAGATAGCTTTGTATACGAAATGTGTGGAAGATGGCTATCAACTAAAAGTTAACAAATCAAGCAAAGATCGTTTCGAAACAAGGTGTATGATTGACAAAAATTGTACGTGGCGTATGATTGCAAAGAGGATAAAAGATTGCAAAATGTTTCAAGTTAGGACTTTTATTGATAAACATGCTTGTTCAAGAACCCAAATTTTTCCTCACCATAGACAGGCAAACAAAAAAGTGTTGGGTGGTTTTCTGGCTGAGTTAATGTTTTTGAATGGCAGGGTATATCGGGGACATGAAATTATGACTGATATGAATGCTCGGTTCAAGATTAGTATCTCATATTCTCAAGCTTAGAGAGCCAAATGTTATGCCTTAGAATTGTTGAGGGGTCGCCAGAAGCATCGTTTGCCCAACTGTCGACTTATTGTCACAATTTAAAGCTGAAAAATCCTGGGTCGGTAACTCATATCAAAACAGATAGAGATGGACGCTTTGAGTTGCTGTTTATCGCCATTGGTAACTTAACAGAGTAACTTAACAGAGTTTTTTAACGACTTTATGGCGAGGTAACCAAAATAGTAACTTTTATAACATTAAACACTTGAATTAACTCAAAAAAAAATTGGTACCACTTTGAGAAAAACAATATCATCTAGGCACATATTTTTATATTAAACATTAAATTTGTATAGAAATTCGAACAACTCAATTTGACTCGACTAAAAAAATTCAAGTTAAGTTCGAGTCGCTAAGTTTTTATTTTAAATATTTTTTTAAAATTACCAGAATATGACATGTGTCACTTAATGGAGGTTTTTAATAACCGTTATGGCTGAGACACCTAAAGTAGTAATGTTTATAATATTAAAGACTTAATTGACTAAAAATATTTTGGTACCAATTTGAGAAAAATAGTATAATATAAGCACATATTTTTATATTAAACATTAAATTTATATAGAAATTCAATCAACTCAATTTAACTTGACTCAAAAATTGTTTAAATTAAATTAAAGTCATAAACTATTAATTATCAACTTAAATAATTTGTACTTTTTTTAATCAAATAAAGTCTACTTGATCAAATGCTCGGCCCTAATGTGATCCATCGATAACTCTTAGTCCCCATACCCTCACCCTAAACTCACCCTCTTTTACATCCTACTTCACCTCGTACTTAGCCACATGTCCCTTACTCCATCCCTAAAACGCACACAAAATCCCCGTATCACCACGGTTAATTTATCTCCCCTCAAATTATCCCTTAAGAACGGCACTACAAATTTAGTCTCTCCATTTCCTCTAAAACCACTGTAAAACTAGGAAGAAAAAAAAGAAAAGAAAAGAAATGGAAAATTATCCTTATAACTCTTATCCAGATTCCGGCGACTCATCGCCGCGATCCAGAGAGATCGAGTTCGATAATCCACCGCCGTGGGAGGATCAATCGCAGCATCAACAAAGTTACAAGGCTAAGTTCATGTGCAGCTATGGTGGAAAGATCCATCCTCGGCCTCATGATAATCAGTTATCTTACATCGGTGGGGAGACGAAGATCCTGTCCGTTGATCGGAACATCAAATTCTCCTCCATGATCGGTAAGCTCTCCGCTTTGTGCGGCGGTGGAGACGGCGACGTTTCGTTCAAGTACCAGCTCCCTGGCGAAGACCTCGACTCGCTTATATCTGTTACCAACGATGATGATCTCGAACACATGATGCACGAATACGATCGACTTTATCGAGCCTCGGCTAAACCGGCGAGGATGCGGCTTTTCGTGTTTCCAATGACCGGTTCCGTGAATTTCGGGAGCGAGGGGTCGAAATTGGACCGCGAACGGTTCGTTGATGCTTTGAATTCCGGTCCGACTCCCGGTGAAAAAGCCGCTACGATCCCGCAAAGTAAAGTCGATTTCTTGTTTGGACTTGAAAAGGGGATGGTTCCACCTCCGCCGGTTAAAATCCGTGATCATGTGGTGGAACCGGTGATCCCGCCGCCTCTGGTTCCGGAAGTCGTTGGGACGGATCATGGTTTGAATCCAGGTGAAATTCAAAGACAGATACAAGAACTTCAGAGGCTTCAAATTCGTGATCAAGATCATCTACCAGAATTGCAGAGGCTTCAAATTCGTGAACAAGAACAGCGCGCTATTTATAGGAAGAAAGCTGAAGACACCGCTGCTTCTATACCTTACACAGGAGAATACTACGCCCAGAAGTTACCTGAAAAAGTGCCACCGATGACCGTACAACAGCACGTGCCGGCGACGGCTGGATTCTGGCCGGATAAACATATTTCGTCCGGGAGTTTCCAAACAACCATAACAGCAGCTCCAGGCCCTCCACCGCCGGCGGATCATCCTGTTTACATGATCCCGGCACCAGTTCCAGGGCCAGCTCCGGCCACCCTCTACCACGCACCAGCACCAGTTCCCGCACCAGCACCGGCACCTGCACCACCACAAATGGTTCGACCGGTAACCGGACAAACCGGTCAAGGCTACTACACCAACATACAGAGAATGCCACATGAAGTTTACCGGGATCAACCTGTTTTCAACATGGTAGCACAACAACAACCTCCGCCGCCTACGCAACACCAACCTATGTCGACCATACCGCAGCAGGTGGTGAGGTCGCCGAGCGGTGGGGTGACAGATGCAGCATACACAAGTGGCAGCGTACGATAGGCCAACTTACTATACTGCGCCAGGGGCCGTCGTGCCACCTCAGTATCAAGGCGTCGGCGTGGCGGTTATGGGTGAAAAACTGGGCACTGTCGACAACAGTAAAGTGGTATACAAAGACAGAGTTTCACAAGGTTCAGTTTAATTAAATTTTAACTATGATAGAATTTGCGATTATATCTATTAGTTTTAAATTGCTATTACATATTTTGTGAAGTCTAAATCAAAATCTTAGGTACTCAACTCTTTTATGTTTTTACGCTATATGAAATTATGAGTTTGTGTTGATATTATCATGATTTAAATTATGGGTTAACTTTAATTTTTTTATGTTGTTGATGAAATTAGGTTGTGTCAGTTCTTTTTATTTTTTTTACGAATTTTAATCTTATTTAAAGGGATGATGAGAAGAGACTTTAAGAAAAATAAAGAGGTGTTGAACTTATTACTTAAGAAAATACAAGGAACAAAAATAAATAATTTGATCAATCGACTAAATATATTTGTTTGATTAGTTTTTTAGTTTAAACGAAAAAAACCGTAATTAAAAATAGTATTTGGGTCTCCTATCTTTAAGTAAGAGACCGTGAAAGAATCGATACGAATGAATTTCAATCAATTCTCGATATTGATAAAAAAATGTATATTAACTCTTTATATTAATATCAAATATAATATATCTATAATAATTTGTAAGTTATCAGGTTCAGTAGATATAATTAGCTGATGAGATTTTGATTTTAATAATTTAAGTGAGCTTGCTGAAAATTATATTAAAAGGTTGTGATTTTTTATGAGATACAAGATTCTTGAGATTTTATGTTTAGAGATTTTTTTTTCGTTGTGAAAAAATTATTTAGAAATTTATTTGTGTAGAAATTAAATTTATGAAAAAAATTCAGAAAAGATATAATAAATATAATAATGAACAAGCAACATTATGGAAAGTAAGAAAATCCAAATACAGTGTGCTGTGCATTTTCTCACTAACCAAACAAACAGCAGTCATCATGTAGAAATAAGAGTTGTCATTGACCCCACAAATCACTAAATTTATTTTTACTTTCAATTGAAGCGTAAGGAAGAAAACAAAAAAATAAAGAATGTCATTTTCTTTATCCCAAATAAAAAATTCCCATTGTTATTATTATTTATATATGCAAATGTATGATAACATGGGACTTGTCCCTGTTTGCTTACATTATCTGCAGATGCCGTGGCACTTGTTTGTTCGGTTTCTGACTTTAAATATGCAACCTGCTTCATTTACATATCATTAAAAATAATAATAAATATTTAGACATGATAAACAAAACACACTAACATAAAAAAGATTTTAGACATTATTTGTATAATAGTTGAGCTAATTTTAACTCTACAAAGGGATTAAGACTTTGTTATGTATCCTATTTATTTATTTTTTATTTTAGTCTAACGTTATTTTAACTGGTCTCTAAAAACGATAGTGTCCTTAACCTCTCAATAGGCTATAACGCATAAACAAATTCTTAGATATAATTTCTACAAGACTCGCGTGATTTATCAGAATAAAATTCAAGATCTAATTATTATATCTATCTAGTCTTTTAACCTACGAATACTTATAATAACCTTATATCTAACATTATATGCTAAAAAGTAAGAATCACTATAAATACCCTCAATTCCAACTAAATAGGGGTTCGAGACTTTCTCCTTATTCTTTACTCAAATAAAAAAGAGCGAATACTAAATTGTTTTCATAAACAATATCATATCTTACAAGTTCATAAGACCTTTATATTATACCACCAAATTGTCTCCTTTTGTTGGTGTATGGTAAAAAGGTATATCTCACTTTTCTTATTTATTTATTTATTTATTTGACCACAATTATGTTTTCTTTCAATTTTCTCGGAAGCAAACACAGCCACTTGTTAACTTTTCAAGTGGTGTGCAATGCATATTGGTTTACGAATCAAAGTCCAGAAGCTGTCGGAATCTGAACAATTTTTTGAAACACTTTTCCAGGAAACTACTGGAAATAAAGTGTTATATATATTGAACTGATTTGGCCCACGCCTTTGCTGTATTTTATTCCTCAAGCATCTGCCCATTGATAAATTAACAGTTTGGACCAAACTGAAAATAAGATTCCAAAACAGCATAAGAAGCTTAAAAAGTTGGATTTGCACTTGAAAATCCTTTGTCCCTGTTCAAATAATCGATTTTATTTTTATTTTTTAAGTGTTTTTGTCTCAATATTTTGTTTTAAAATAAAAAAACTTATTTGTAAATGAAAGTAGTTGGGTAACAACTTATTAACATTTCAAAATAAAAATATTTTAACTGTTGAGGGTCAAAATATTTCGAGAAAATAGAAAAGAGCTAAACAGTTTCTGATTCTGCTTCATCAATTAATAAGAAACAGAACGAGTTCAACACCGGCTCTATTGTCAGCTTCAGCATCAGCTCTTATTCGAGGAATGAGTTGATTGATCTGAAGAATCAGTTAGTTGTTGAGTTGGAGCGGGCTCGTGAGTTGAAGAATCGAGTCAATTCGAATGATTTTCACCTTAGATCAAGCTCCAAATCCTTGGCATTTCCGGTAATAAACGACCTCTGCCTCTTAATTTCAGCAAAGAATTGAAGATGTTGAACAATCGAGAGAATGGAAAAGCAGAAGCTGCTCATTTGATGAAAATATGTTCCCAAATATTGAATAAATTGATGAAACATAAATATGGGTATATCTTCAATTCTCCAGTGGATGCCATTGGGCTGTGGCTTCATCATTGCTACGATGTAATAAAGAACCCAATGGATCTGGGCACTATTAAGTCGAGAATGGTGAAGAATTTTTACAAGTCTCCGTTGGATTTCGCTGCTGATGCTTTCAAAAACGCTATGTTTCGTATGTAAAGTATAAACTGGAAAAAGAAACTTTTTTGAACGGTCATTTTCTCTGAAGGCGCACGATACGCTTTGCCTAGGCGCAAGTTAGCTGGACTAACGATACCTAGTTTTCTCCGTCGCGTCGCGTTCGCCGGTGACCCTCTGTCCGTCACAGTTCCTCCACGGGTCTTCCTCACTCAATTGGCTTTTCCATGGATTGGCGAAAGCTTTTCGGATGTCAAGCGGGGCAAGAACTGTCGTATTTTCCCCCAAAATCAAAGGATAAAATCCCTATTGTACAACCCCCACAAGAAGTTCTCGAGGCTGGCTCTGCAGAATGGTCTTCTTCTCTCGTTGGCCAGATACTAGGTGCTGCTCCAAAATTCATCCATCTGTAAAGTATCATCGAGAACCTCTGAATCAGCTTTCGCAAGGGGTTAGGGTTCAGGTAAGTATCGCTGGCAACAACCTGTATGTTTTCAATTTCAACTCTGTTAATGCTCGGGACTGGGTTCTTGAAAATGGCCCATGGCATGTTCTTAATAAACCTCTAATCCTACGAAAGTGGGAACCAAATTTGCATAATCTTGAATTTGATTTAACTCGTCTGCCTATTTGGGTGCATTTGTTTAATGTCCCTTTAGAACTATTCTCTATAGAAGGCCTTAGCTATATAGCTAGTGCCTTAGGAATACCTTTGACTATGGACTCGTTTACTGCTAACAAATCCAGACTTAATTTTGCTAAGGTATGTATAGAGGTAGGTGCACAGGAGAAAATACCAGAATCTGTAGAGGTTGTTCTTGCTAATGGAATATCCACTACTATCAACGTTGATGTTCCTTGGTTCCCTCCTAGATGTACTAACTGCAAAACCTTTGGCCATTCAGAAAAAGGCTGCTTAAACAATCCTATTCTTGCTCCCCAAACTTCGAAAATATGGAGAAAAAAGAATGAAATCCCTGCTCCTAAATCTACAGAAACAGTAGAAGAACAACTTGCCTCAGAGTCAAAACCATCCTCCTCTAGTGCTAATAATGAACTAAATAAACTAGAGACGGGGAAAGTTTTAAAACCAATTCTTCCTTCCAATTCGAACCTGTTACCTAAGGGTGATACAATGACAGAACCTTCCTCCTCCAGCGCTAACAATGATCTTAATAAACTAGAGTCAGGGAAAGATTCAAACTCAACTCTTCCTCCCAATCCGAATCTATTTTCTAATGTTGATCTTTCTGATTCGCAAGCAGTTGAAGAAAATGAACTAAATCCGCCTCCTTGCGAATTTTCTACTCAATTGGAAACTATCAAAGAAACTGGGTCTCCTGCTCTTCCTAAACGAGGTAGAGGTCGACCTATTAAAGTTAATTCTAAAACTGTGATGAGAGGCACAACAAATAGATTTGATATTCTTTCCACTGTTGATGAGAGTCCTTCATTAAATGAGGTACAAGTTAAAAAACAAAGACCTGCTGCTGCTGGAGTTGCAAAACTGATCAAGGAACTAAAATTAAAAAAGAAAGAACAAATTTCTAAGTTCACTAGTACCTCAGAAGTAGCCTTAGAGGACCAAAACTCCCCCATTCCCCAATGATTATCTGCTTTTGGAATATCAGAGGATTTAACAATCCTCAAAAACAGAAAAAAGTTCTCAACAGAGCAAATCTTTACAATGTTGATGTCTTATGCCTGTTAGAAACTCGTGTCAAAGCTGAAAACACTAATAAAATCTTAAACTCTACTTTTGCGAGCTGGAATGCCTTTACTAACTACGATTTTGCTTCCAATGGTAGAATCTGGTTCCTTTGGAAGAAAGGTATCGATATTTCTTTTTGCCACTCTTCTGCCCAAAGTATCATTGTCAATTGCTCTTTTAATAACTATCCGTTTATCATCACTGCGGTCTACGGCAGTAATTGTGGTATTACCCGTAGAATTCTTTGGCAAACTCTTAGAGATATTGATCATAAGTTTGGCTATCTTCCTTGGATCCTAGGAGGGGATTTCAATACCTTTCTTGACTCCAAAGAAAGTACTGACTCCGATCTCTTAGGCCCCTATCTTTCTTCTGATATGATTGATTTCCAAAATGCTATTCAAGATATTTCCTTACAAGACCACCCTTTTTTTGGTCCAACTTTTACTTGGAGCAACAAACAAAGAGATTCTTTCCTTGCAAGGAAACTTGATAGAGTTCTTATAAACTCTCCTTGGGCTACCACTTTTCAGAATTCTTTTGTTGAATTCACTGCCCCTGGACCTTCAGATCACTGTATGGTCTTGCATGGATCAACAAACAGAGTCAAATCAATAAACCCAAACCTTTTAAATTTTTTAACTTCTGGTCCACCCACACTAACTTTCTTGAAGTTGTCCACCAGTCTTGGCAACATCCTTCTTACGACAACCCTATGCAGAAATTATTTACTAAACTCAAACGTCTCAAACCCTGTTTGCAGAAGCTTAACCAAGAACATTATAGTAATATTTCTGCTAGGGTAAATCAAAAGAAGTTGGAGTTGGAACAAATTCAGATTGAAACTCTTAAAGGCTCCATCTCTATTGATAAAGAATTGATAGCTCAAAAGGAGCTGAAGGTTTTAGAGGATAATGAGCATATGTTCCTCAAACAGAAAACTAAAATGCAATGGATTAAAGATGGTGATAAATGCACTAAATTTTTCCATTCTGCCATAGCCTCTAAAAACAAGAGAGATACCATCAGAGTTCTTGTTAACAATGATGGTAAAAGGCTTGATTCTTATGATGATATGACTTCTGAAATAACTGGGTTCTTCAAACAACAATTAGGTACGTCTGATCCTAAAGTTCATAATACTAATCCTGTCTACCTAAAAAACCTGCTCCAAGTAAATTTACCCAGTGAGACTGTTTCTGATCTTATCAAAACTGTCACTACTGATGAGATTAAAGAGGCAGTATTTAGCCAAGGAAATGATAAAGCTCCTGGCCCTGATGGTTACACCCCTATGTTTTTTAAAAAATCTTGGACTATAACAGGAGAGGATGTCATTAACGCTATTAATTACTTCTTTAAAGAGGCTCACATAAGCCCGGCTTTCAACTCCACAATAATTGCTTTGATTCCAAAAATTCCTAACCCCAATAAAGTCAATGACTATAGACCTATCTCCTGTTGCTCAGTGATTTATAAAATTGTCACTAAAATTCTTGTCAAAAGATTAAATTTACTGTTGCCTGATCTTATATCTCTAAATCAAACAGCTTTTGTGAAAGGCAGATCGATTCTCGATAACACCCTTCTTGCTCAAGAATTAGTGAAAGGTTACGGTAGAAAAAACATTTCCCCTAGGTGTGCCCTTAAAATTGACCTTCATAAAGCCTTTGATTCCCTTCACTGGATTTTTCTTTCTTCTGTTCTTAATGCTATAGGGTTGCCTCTCACGTTTATAAAGTGGATCGAAGCTTGTTTCACAGGAGCTAGGTATTCCATCTCCTTCAATGGGAGTTTGATAGGCTACTTTAAGGGTCAAAGAGGCATAAGACAAGGTGATCCCTTATCACCAATCTTATTTGTTCTTGCAATGAATATTCTCTCAAATTTACTTAATATTGCTGCCAAAAGAGGAATATTCGGCTTTCACCCTAAGTGCAAAAAAATTGGCATTACTCACCTATCATTTGTTGATGATCTCTTAATTTTTTGCAAAGGAAACCTTGATTCTATTGTTGGTGTTAAGACTGTCCTAAATCACTTCTATGATCTGTCTGGATTAAAGCTTAACATAAGCAAGACAGAATTGTTTTCTGCCGGAATTCCATCTAGAAATCTGGATAACATCATATCTGCTACAGGTTTCAAACATGGTTATCTACCTGTTAGATACCTTGGTGTTCCTCTTGTTACTAGAAAGTTAACCGAAAAAGATTGTCTCCCTCTTCTTGATAATATCAAACATAGGCTTCATCAATGGGCTGGGAAACTTCTTAGTTATGCAGGTAGACTTGAGCTGATTAAAACTGTCATACACATTGTGATTAACTATTGGACTAGACAGTTTTTATTGCCACAGAAAGTTCTTAAACGACTGCACCAACTCTGCTCCAGATTCCTTTGGAAAGGTTCAGATACAGCTGCTACTGGAGCAAGAATCGGTTGGGAAAAATTATGCTGCCCCAAATCTGAAGGTAGTCTAGGCTTAAAAGACCTCAAATCTTGGAATAAAACCTGCATGGTTCATCTCATTCGTAAAATTCTCGCAGGAACAGGTTCTTTGTGGGTTGCATGGATTCATTGCTATGTGCTTAAAGGTAGTAACTTCAATGATGTCAATGATAGCTCTTCATATAGCTGGTGTTTCAGGAAACTGATTAATCTTAGAAGTGAAGTACTACCTATCCTTAGCACTGGAATTTCGAAGACTATAGACTTATGGGAGGAAATGAGAGATCATAAAGCTAAGGTACCATGGCACAATGGTTCCCACTTCACATCCCAAAATTGAGTATTATTTCATGGATGGCTATTTTGGATCGTCTTCCTACTAGAGACAGACTCTCTAGAATAGGTATTGCTTCAGATGATTCTTGTATCCTTTGTCTTGACTCTGCAGAAACACGAAACCACTTGTTCGTCGATTGTTCTTTTGCTACTACTCTGTGGAACTCTATCATGCGTCTCAACAATATGCACAACACGCACAACACTTGGGATTCAAGGATTTGTTGGGCTTCTCAACACTGGAAAGGTAAATCTCTTCTCAACATCATTCAGAAACTTTCTTGGACAGCTTACATATATACGATCTGGGATGAAAGGAATAGAAGAATCTTCAGAAGAGAATCAAGATCACCTGATCAAGTCCTAAAGACCATTAAGGATCTTGTTCGAATCAAACTCAGTGATAGAAATTTCAATAGAACTTATTATGTCAATGTAAATTTATGTAATTATTGGGGTATTGAGTGAATATTTTGTTGTAAGTAGGCTTTTACCCTAATTGGGATGTTTCTGATGTAATTTTCCTTGGATAATAAAATTTGCTTATCCAAAAAAAAACGCTATGTTTCGGCCACTGAGTTTCAAACCGGAGGAGCAAGAAGAGCCATTAGAAAGATTGAAGAAAGATGGGGAGAGTACCGTTGGAAGGGATGACTCAACTATAAAGGTGGTGGTTCGGGATTTGTTTCAAACCCAAGGGTTCCACGGTCTCCGCCTCGGCCAGAGTTGCTGGCACCAGCAAGGATCGGTTCACCGGTTCTGGGACCGAAGTAGCCAAAGCCGAAGGTTAAGGATCCAAACAAGAGGGAAATTACTATGGATGAGAAGCAAAGGTCGGGGATTGGATTGCAGAACTTACCACAAAAGATGGATAATGTCCTTCACATTGTAAGGCAGAGAAATGGGCATTTGAATGTATAAAAGATATTTAAAATTATCTATAAAAGTATAAGATGAAAGACAATTGAATGTATCGATAATAGAAAAGATGATACGATTGAATGTATCCAAAAAGCAAATATTAAAACAACCGAAAGGAGCCTTCCTCATTTAGGACACTTTTCAGATAAATTTATGTAACCTCGTGTTTGAAAGATCTCTGCCCTCAAATTCCTAACAGGCTTTTAATACATTCTTGTTCATTTAGATACAAAACTGCTTTAACGACATACCATTTCTGAAATGAGGGAAACAACTACGAGAATCATTGGCTAATTACTCACTTTTTCACTTCTTCGTACTCTGCCTCTTGTGCCTGCTCACCACCACCTTGGGCACCTCCGGAAGAACCACCTTGGGCACCACCGGAAGAACCACCAGACATGTGTTCCCCAATCTTTGACACTGCTTTGTTTGCCGCATCGATGTTGGCCTTAATCTCATCCACATCCTCTCCTTCCATTGCCTTCCTCAAATCCGCGACAGCATCCTCTACTGCTTTTGCAATTTCGGTAGGAACCTTGTCTCTGTACTCGTTCAAGCTCTTCTCCACACTATAAATAGTGGTGTCAGCATTGTTTTTTATATCAATCAGAGCTTTTCTTTGTTGGTCCTTCTGGGCATGCAACTCGGCTTCCTTCACCATCTTATCGATCTCATCCTCCGAGAGACCACCAGATGAACGGATGGTAATCTGCTGTTCTTTTCCAGTGGCCTTATCCTTGGCAGAAACAGTGACAATACCATTGGCATCGATGTCAAAAGTCACTTCAATCTGAGGCATGCCTCTAGGAGCAGGTGGAATGCCGACCAAGTCAAACTCACCCAACGTCTTATTGTCAGCGGCCATTTCACGCTCACCTTGAAGTACCTTAATGCCTACTTGTGTCTGGTTATCAGCTGCAGTGGAGAACACCTGAAAAAGAAAATCGATCAACCCCACCGAACATGAACAATAAAAAGTAATTAATATTTATACAATACAATTCTGGAAACAATTAAACTTCTGTTACGCACAAAACAGAACCAAAAAAAAAATGTCAACTTATCATGTCCCAAGGACTACTGCCGACTTTATTTCATACGGAATGCCACTTGAAGAAAAATGCAAGCATTTGCACCGAAGACATACCTGACTTTTCTTTGTTGGAATGGTTGTGTTCCGGTTGATTAGCCTTGTGAATATACCACCAAGTGTCTCGATACCAAGCGACAAAGGAGTGACATCAAGCAGAAGCAACTCTTTAACATCACCTCGAAGTATACCACCCTGAATTGCTGCTCCCATAGCAACTGCCTCATCAGGATTGACACCTTTGCTTGGACTCTTCCCAAAGATGCCCGACACTACTTCTTGTACTTTAGGTACACGAGTCATCCCTCCAACAAGAAGAACCTCATCGATATCCTTTGTAGAAATGCTAGCATCCTTCAAACAATTCTTACACGGAGCCTTGGTCCTCTCAATCAGGTGATTTACCAAAGACTCAAACTTTGATCTGGTCAATGTGATATTCAAGTGTTTTGCTCCAGATGCATCCGCTGTTATAAATGGCAGATTAATTTCAGTTTGTGATGTTGATGAGAGTTCAATTTTAGCCTTCTCAGCAGCTTCCCGAAGCCTCTGGAGTGCAAGTCTATCCTTTGAAAGATCAATTCCCTCAGTTTTCTTGAATTCGCTCACCAAGAATTCCAGCAAGGCATTGTCAAAGTCTTCTCCTCCCAAGAAAGTATCACCATTTGTTGCTTTGACCTGCATAAAAGATTTAATTAATATAATTAGCCTAATAATGCCTAAAACAAACCCTCTTAGAACAGAAAAAAGATGCGCACCTCAAAGACACCATTAGAGATCTCCAAAATTGAAATATCAAATGTTCCACCACCAAGATCGAAGACTGCAATGAGACCCTCCTTGTTGTTCATTCCATATGAAAGGGCAGCTGCGGTGGGCTCATTGATTATTCTCTGAACATCAAGGCCTGCAATTCTACCAGCATCCTTAGTTGCTTGTCTCTGAGCATCATTGAAATAAGCTGGAACAGTGATAACAGCATTAGAAACACTCTTTCCCAGGTAGGCCTCGGCAGTTTCCTTCATCTTGGTCAAAATAAATGCACCGATTTGGCTAGGAGAATATTGCTGCCCGTTCGCTTCGACCCAGGCATCTCCATTAGGAGCCCTGACAATCTTGAAAGGAACCATTCCCATTTCTTTTGTTGTCTGGGGATCATCATATCGTCTACCAATCAGACGCTTGGTCCCAAATAGTGTATTAGTTGGATTGGTCACAGCCTGACGTTTTGCAGGAGTGCCGACAAGTAACTCTCCCTTTTGGTTGAAGGCAACAACAGATGGTGTGGTCCGTGCACCTTCCGAGTTCTCAATAACCTTGGGATTCTGAATACAATGATAAACTCAATCAGATATAAGCACGGAATAACTTCGCCGTCCAAAGCCAATAACAAAATTATTAAGCACATCAGCACACTAGTCTAATTCTTACCTTTCCCTCCATGACAGCAACACAGGAGTTGGTTGTCCCCAAATCAATACCAATGACATCACTGCCAGCAGGTTTTGCACTGCTTCAAAGGAATAACAATAAAGTTACATTGAGCAATCACAGATTTACTTCAAATACACAACAATAAGAATTGTCCAAATCACGGTTACCTGAAAGCTCTTGAAAAACTTGTCCAATTAATTCCTGCTGAGCTCTTGCCATTGCTAGTAAGCTGCACAACAACAAATTAAGCATAAACATCATCAATTCCATTCCATTTCATTCAGGTGGGAATATTACACAAGTACTGAACAAACAAACTGCAATAACCATTTTTACATGATAGCCAAATCTGACGCAAAGTTCAAGGAAACACGGTAATTAAGGCAAAGTCTAAACCAATTTGCTATGAAGAACCAATAGGGTAACAGTAATTCTTTGTCTGTAACTACTTTTAGTAACCTTCAGATCAAAAGATGCAAAACTAGATAAATCTAGATAAATTCCACTTTTCCTCGACTGTCCAGGCAACCAAACAGAGGATAACACCAGGTAACACAGATCAGTCTAACAAATCACCGAAACCGAACTAGAAAGGTTTTAAAGCGTACAGAAAAGGAGTGGAAACTTACGCATCTATAAGCGGAGAGAGGCGCAGATACGGCATCGCGGCGTCGAAATGAACGAAGCAAAGCTGCAGTAGCCATGTCTATAACTTAGAGGTAGAGCAGGCGAATATCGATTTGAAGTTCTTTCTGAAGCTTGTACTGAAATGAGAGGAGAGGTTTCTAGGGTTTAGGGTTTTGTATATTCTAAAATTGGTAAGAGATGGAAGGTTCTAGATTAACAACGAACGTGCACGACTGCCCGCTTTTCAATTTCTATTAGAGGAGGTTAGTGATATGCCACGTCAACGAAATTCCCGATCTTATGGTTAGCATGAGACTACGTCATTTTCTATATTCGTTTGGTTCCTGGCATGAGATATTATCGGTAAATAGAATCTTTATTATTTCGTTGGATTGACTGTTAATTTTATTTTCAGTAATTTTTTATTACCAACAATAGATTTTTTGAGGTATATTATCGAGAATATGATTACCCATTTCCTTAGATATTATTGGATTACTGGTGTTTTGGACTAAAATATCCTTAATTATTTTTTTAAAATTATCATTCTTCTGTCGTTGAATAATAACAATTCTACGAAGGTTAAATAACAAATTTACAAAAAAAATCTATAATTATAATTTTATATGAAGTTTAGAAGTTAAAATAAAATTTTACCCTTTCATTAAACTTATTTATATTTTCAATTTTATAAAAAAAATTATATAAATTTTATGAATTTAAAATTTTTAAAGAAAATATATAAATTAATTATAGTAATATTATAGTAGAATTCAACTTGTTAAAAAACACATATATAATAAGGATAATTTGGTAAAATATACATTCCAATAATCTTTTATTCCTTTAACCAAACACTATAATTTTACATTCCTACTAAACCAACCAAACACAAAATACAACATTCACTGTAATCTTATTCTCTAGTAATCTTTTATTCCCACTGATAACCTTATATTCCGTGAACTAAACGCACCCTTAGGGTAAACTACATTTTTTTAGTATCTAAAATATTAAGTTTTTTTTAGTATCTAAAATATTAGTTTTGGTCCGTTTAGTACCTAAATTTTCTTCTTTTTTCATAATCATGCCTAACATTTAGTTATTGTTTCATTTAGTATCCCACCGTTAATAATTTAACGGACGAGCTCACTGATCATCGCATCCGTAGGCTGATGAAGCCCAAACTTTCTCGCTCGTACCTTTTTCGACCCCCTAAACGCGATTTCGACTTCTGTTTCATCAGGAAATGTCTCAATCTTCCCAAATCGATGATGGCCTATTCAATTTCTTCATCCTCCGATCTTCAAGGTCCACCGTTTGATGGCCTGAAACTGGACTATGTTGGTTGACTCGTCATTATCCTGTGGTCCGCTGTTCAAATTAGCCGTCCGTCCACCAGAGCTATGTCACATCAACTCGTCCGTTAAGTTTTTAACGATGTGTTACTAAAATGAAACAAAATTAAACATCAAGTATCATTTTGAAAAAGTTAAAAGTATATGTACTAAAATAGATAAAAAAAATAATAATTTAGATACTAAACACATAATTTAACCTTATATTTTTTGGTTTTTCTTACGTTTGAATATGGATATATGATATGCATTGGTTATTGAACTTTTAAAATTTATATTCATAATTAAAAAATTTAACATGTAATATTTATAATTTTGTATAACTTATATCTAATTAAACATTTAACATAAAAAAATTAAACTTTCTAAATATTATATCTTTTACGAATAATTTTACTAGAATAGGAATCATCATAAAAATATATCACCATTTTTACTATTAAAATATAGAATAAACTATGTGAATAATTCTTTTTATTTTTTGTCTGATCGATTTTAGTCATTAATTTAAAATTTCAAGATAAGGGTCCTAACGTTATAGATCCATTCGATTTTAGTCATTCCGTCATTAATGTACATTAACCCATTAACATAAGTCTTACGTGAGCTTAGTTGAAGCTTCCTATAATCATTATATACATATTTGCTGATTTAAAGTTAATTACTATGAAGATGATGATAAACCTTGGGGATCAAAGAGGTCCTCTCCATATAAACACAATGGACATGGCGATGGCGACCTCCATCGAACGTGGGTGTGAATTTTGGTTTCGACGATTCATATGGTCCATGGTCGAATGCATAGTCCTTTGATTCAGGTATCCTCCTTTGGTCTCGGTCACCAACAGCGACATGGACTCAAACCACCAACATAAATTTCTTTATCTTACCATGCTTTTGCTTCCATCGATTCAGTTATAATTCTGATCTCATGAAGCTGCATTTTGATCGCATAAATATGCAGACATATATGACTGAATCGTTCCATGTGTTGTTGCAGATTGATTTGAGACATGAATATGGGCATAATTTGTATTATGATGTTCGGTTATCATCTTTTGCAGCCTTTGAAAATTGGTTCTTAGCTAATTATCACCACCTCTTTAGAAGAAGAAGAAAGACTCGTGGGTTTTTTATTTTTATTTTTTAATTGCCACTTCATGTTTTTGTTAAAGAGTTAACGGTAGAAAGACTTATACATCACTTATCTAGAAGAAGAAGACGGCAACACATGAGTTTTGAATTTCTTTTTAATTACCATTTCAAACTTTCGTTAAGGGATTAATAGAAGTTAAAGGTAGAATGATTTATACGAACCGATAATATTAGGAATTTAAATTGAACAGGTCGATGATGTCAGAGACTATTTACCTTTAATTTTTAGATTAGTTACTAAAATTGATCATACAAAAAAATAAAGGAAACTATTCACATAATTTACCCTAAAATATATTATTAATTTCATCAATATTCAAAATTTAAATCTCAAAATCAAACTTTAAAAAAAACATTTTCTTGCTGACACCTTTTAAAAACAACAATACTAAAATTACATTGTGCTACACACCTTTTAAAAACAACAATACTAAAATTACATTGTGCTTAGTAGCGTTATACAGAATATATTTTTGGGTAAATTATACAAATGATCTCTAGATTATAAAATATTATTTTATTGAGTTCACTTACTGTTGAAAGTTATAAAATGATTTTTCAACTATAAGAGATTGCATTATTGAGTTCTTTGATTATTTAAAGTTACAAAATGATCACCCGACTATTCATATGTTCCAAACTCGTCAATTTTCATTAAAAAATTGACGATCATCTGAGCTAGATGTTAACCTATTAATTATGATATGATAAAATCTTATCTAAAAACCATTTGAGATGTATTTTGTGGATCGACCATCTGTATACATTTTGTCATGCTAGTGCATGAAAGCAAATATAGTGCTAATATAAATCATCAAAATATAATTTTATCATATCTCAATTAATATATTAACGTCAATTTCAAACGGTCATCAACTTTTTAACATGAAATGATGAGTTTAGAACATAAGAATAGTTTGATAATTATTTTGTAACTTTTAATAGTTGGGGGAATCTACAAAACAACACCTTATAGTCGAGAGACAATTTTATAATTTTAAATAGTCGTAAAACTTTTTTTAAAAATAGAGTAAAGTCGGAGGACCATTTGTGTACTTTATCCTATATTTTACTTGTAGTCTTCCTAAAATGATAAAATTACACTGAAGAACCTTTAAGCATTGTAAAATTATATTTTAACCCCTCAAAAATAATAAAAGTATGATTTAATCCTAAAAGTTATAAAATTGCATTTTAAATCCATAAAGATTTATAATTCAATTTCGACTCCATCGATCTAAAAATCGAAGTGCGTGTTTTAGTCAAACTTTAATATTACAAACCTGTACAATGAAAACATAAACAAAGAATGATACAACATACAACTGAACATGCCAAAGAAAAGACTCACCTGTTGTTAGCCTAAATAAGAAGAGCAAGGAACAAAAATTTCCTATTCTTAGCCCGCTGAGATGATGCTCTCGAAAAATCCGTACGTTCATCTGATACAATACTCCGCATACGTGATTGCGGGAAGCAAATAGTCGAACTATAATCCGATGTTATCGACTTTCATCAACTCTGTCAAATCCTGATGTAACTACCGCCGTTTGCACTGCTTCTCTTGAGGACCAATCTCCGTTATGCGACCAACTTCGTCGCAATGACCGCCTCCGATGCCAGGTGATCAATCTAGAATAGAGAGCGGGGAAAATGAAGCATAGCAGCACTAGTATCAACGTTGCTAAACATAGAAACATTACATTGCGGAAGCCGTATTTCAATGCAGGGTCCTTTTGAACTGTCCATGGAACTCCCCCCACATTCATTCCAAACACTGCAATATTCAACAAAAACAAGGCAAAGAATTCAATGCAGGCACATACTATCTATCGATAAATCCAATTCCGGCTCCTAAGGGATTAGTAGAGACAAGAATTACCTCCGGTGATAACAGACAGAGGAAGGAATATAACAGAAAGGAAATATAGGTTATAGAGTTTTCTGTTGATTTGCTCCGACTGCCAGCTATCTAAACTGGCCTGAATCGCGGTAACACGGTTTGCTAGAAACCGACATTCTCTTTCAACCTAATGTCTTCACTTGCAAACCAATATTTCGAAAAACATTTTTCCTTCACTCGAGGAAATACTTGCTCCCCATGTGCAATTGCCTGCATTTTTCGGAGAATGCATACAAGCAAAGCCAGTTTAATTCACATGTTGTTATTCATACGAGTGCAGGCACAAACTATGGCAAACCTAAAGCAAACTCAAACTATTAACATGTAGGTTAACATGGAGACATCATCCATACATCAACTCGGAATGGTTAAACAGCGTCTTCCGGCCTTTTAACTGCGTCTCTGTCCCTTGACAGGGGTTTGGAGTTGTTAAAATAGTTCCTCCAAGGCAATGTACTAGGGGAAAAGGCAAAATTACCTGCAGGAGACGCTGCAGATTGAGATGCATTTTCGGGAATCATCGAGCATTTCTTTTCTTAAAGCAAATCCACCTGAGATTAAGCAGAACAATTATTCGATTTGCAGTTCAAATTGATTAGATGTTTGGAAGCTGATTCTATGTGGAGGAAAGTCCTTTAAACCAGTTATGCACATATGAACTTTGAATATGGAACTCAGAAACTGTTTCAATCCATTGCATAGAAAGCTATAAACCAAGTTCAAACATACAAGGAATCATGCAATGTTTATTGCTGATCATAGGGATTGAACTTACCTCGGTCCAATTCGAGCTCAACTGAATCCAAATCCATCTCGAGCTTCGTAACAACATCCTGAAGGAGATCGACGTGCATGTCGACGATATGAACGACAAGGTTCGAGACCGATTTTGGAACCGGATTATCAGCCTCTTCAGAGTGATTCATTGTCAATAAGAACTCAAGAACATGTTCCCTAATAACAATCCCACCCCCTGGCAGCCTATCTTCTCTACAATTAGGACTTTCAACACTAGGAATCTCGGACAAAAGAGATCGACCGATCGGCGAGAAACCAAGCCTCGGAACACGTCCCAATGACACTGTAATCACCGAATTCTCGGTAACCCTTGCAGCCAGCCTAAATGTAAAGTTACTGGAAGGAGGACCAGGAGAATTAACCCGAAAGACGAGTGCTCCATCGACATGTCCGCAAAAGGGTCCATTGCTAACGAGTGAAAGAATGTCTTGAAGCTTTAATGGCGGACAAAGAACTTCGATAAGGTACTGTGCAGATTGTGAGAGCTTCTGTTTCCCTTTTGGAAGCACAACATGGTACCAACAGAACTGCTTCCCACTACCTTGAGCTAGATCCCATTCCTTGTTGCAATAATTCCCAGAACCATCAAATACGTATGATTTTTTTCTCACCATGCCTGGAAAATGTGTTCTCTGAATATTGTTTTCAAGGATTGGGATACTGGAATCTGTTTCTTCCATTTCCCCATCTCCAGCAGGTTGAATCTTAGCTAAATCCATAACTTTAAACCCTTTTGAATTTTGAAAAAGATAATCTTTTGGCCTAAGCAAGAAAAACCCAGATCAGAATTAGCAAACCCAGTTGAAAACTACCCAGATAAGAAAGATTCAATTGTCCGTTCGAACTAAGAATATATGTTAGAAAGAAGGAAAAGGTCAGCAGAAAACAAGATTAGATTATTTGATTATGGGAAATAAAGAACACATGGTGTTGTCTTGGTAATGATTTCTAAGAAACTTCATGTTTATAATAATTAAATCAACAAAAAATAATAAACAATTAGGAAAAAAGTTTACCAGTAGTGATCACGTTTCTGGTTCAGTCATGATTAGTATATTATTATTATTGTTTTTAATTTTATCTCTGATGATTTAGGGTTTAGATTTAGGTGAGCAGTTCATTTGTTTTTTTGGTTTACCAGAAGAAGAACCAGAAGATTGATTTGTTAGAACGCAAAATGATTTTGTTAGACATTTTTGTTCTGAATTGTTTGGTTTTTGGGTTGAAAAGTACAGCTTCTGGAGACGAATCATTGTCAACGTTGGCAAATGTAGTGTTAAAGTGATGATGTCCATGTCATCCAATATTTGAATCTATTGATATAAGTTGTATAGTTTAGTTAAATTTTGAGCTTTTTGAAATGTGATCATATTTAATATTTGATAAAAGAATATTTGTTGGTTTTATGATCAAAATTTAGTATAAAATTAATTTTTGTTTAAATTATCAGAATGAATAAAAAAGAAAATATGAAAATTTTATATAATTTAAAGTTAATTATATGAATGGTTATTTAGTTATAAATTAATCTAATTATTGATTATTTAATTAGTTAAATGATGTTAATCTGATCATCAGTCTTTTAACACTTGACGAATAAATTAATTTAAAAAGGTAAATAGAACTAGGTCTTTTATGTTTTTTTTGTCTGTATTTGGTCATTAATTAAAAAAATGTTTTGGTCATTTTTATTTTTGATTCATCTCATTTTGATCACCAAATCGTTCACTCTCGTTGCTTTTTTGACATGTTACGTTAATAAAATTGTTAAACTTTAACTTGACTCGTGAATTTAGGCATTATATCGATTTGACCTTAAAATTTACATAAAATATGATTTTGTTTCTAGATTCAGTCAAAGTTTACATTATTGATTGTTATTCATTATCATCGTGGTTAATTTTATATAATTGCCGGCCGTTGTCTACTTGTCTTCAATGAGCATTGAACCCTAATTTTTTAATTCATCCTTTATAATCATATTCATCTAGACTACTAATTAAACTTGAAATTCGACGTCCCGAAAAAAAAATTGAAGTTAAAGTAGAACACAGCCAAATGACGAGCATGACTGCTGCTAATTCCCGCTTGCTTATAACTAGTCGACTAGGGCTGGCAATTATCCATGGGTGAGTGGATTATCCACCCGCCCCGAATAAATGGATGAAAACCCGCTATGAAACGCATGATTGGCGAGTGATGGATGGATCGGGTGATAGGTCGGGTCGGATATGGATGAATATTTTTTGACCCATCACCCGATCCATCACCCGCAGCATCCATCCACCTATTAATATATCCATCCATCCATCCATATATATATATATATATTATACATGGCAGGTAAATATAATTTACTTTATTATACATGACCTTTACTTTATTATGTAGAATAGTCTGTTAATGTGATTATTTAGAATCATACATAGGAATTTTAATATTCTAATTTTAAATTTTCGGATGTCTTGTTTGATATATGATTTCAGAAGCTTCTATTGAGAATGCACATGCATGTGCTACTATCTTGGAGGATTTTGATGTGGAAGATGAGGGAAGTTCATCAAGTGTAGTGCTTGATGCAGATGCTAACTCGGTAAATATTCTTATTAACTTAATTATGACTTTTATCCCATTAAAAATATGTCTAATTTTTTTAATATTGGTTTATCCCTATTTATACTAGGATGGAGAGGACTTTTGAGACGTGATAGTTTGTTGATGAAGATTATATTTGGTGTACAAGACTATACATGATGCATCTATTCACTTGAAAAATGTATCACAAACATAGTGCATAAGACTATATAAATTGTGTTCAATTTTATTTTTGTTTGAATTTGATGAAAATTTATTGTTCATGTTTTGGTTTCTATGAATGTTTGAGTATCTATGTTTGGTTTCTATGAATGTTAGAAGAATTTGAGCTTAGGATGTAAAAATAGGTTTTGTTCATAGTATCATCCATTTTTCATCCGCTCCACCCGCGGATTATGGATGGAGCGGATATGGATGAAATTTTTGGTGGGTGATGGATGGTGTGGATGGAGATTTGGACCGCGGGTGATGGGGCGGATGAAGCTCCACCCGACCTATCTCCGATCCATTGTCAGCCCTACAGTCGACGATCTGCTCATTTCTCCCTGTTGTTTATGTTAAAATATAAAACTAGAAAATAAAAAATTACTTTTCATATCCACCACATTACATAAACTTATAATTTGTTCAAATATATATACAAGTATCTAGTCTAACAACCTAACTAACTCAAAACTGCTTCTAACCAATTAGTAATAGAAAACTAACTGCAAACTTAACACTCCCCCTCAAGTTGGATGTTAAAAAACATTTTCAACTCCTAACTTGGATAGCAAATAACTATGTTGCTGGCTTCCCAAAACTCTTGCCATGATATCTGCAAGCTGCTCATGTGTTGAAACATGTTCTGTTTGAATCATCCCTTCCTATATTTTTTCTCTTACAAAATGACAATCAATTTCAATATGTTTTGTCCTTTCATGATACACAGGATTGGCAGCTTTTTAAATGCAACCCTGTTGTCACAATAAAGCTTTACTGGTTTCAAGCCTTTTATGCTAAGTTCTGCAAACCTTGTACCCATACTAGCTCAGAAGTAACTACTGCCATAGCTTTATATTCTGCTTCTACCAAAGATCTTGCTATAACATTTTGTTTCTTTGATTTCCATGAAACCAGTGAGTCACCAATCTTAATGCAAAACCCTGTCATAGATTTTCTTGTCATTGGACATGACCCCCTAATTTGAATCACAATAAACTGAAATTTGACAGTCTGAAGAAGATTTTAACACGACTCCATGTCATGGTTCCTTCTTAACATACTTGAATATTCTTAAGGTTGCCTCCATATGAGACCTCTTAGATTGTTGCATGAATTGACTGAGAAAATTCAATGCATATGTAATGTAAGGCCTTGTATATGTCAAATAGATCAATCTCCCAATGAGTCTTTTGTAAACTGACCTTTCAACTAGATCATATTCATCTTCATTGTTATGTTGCACAACTTTATCATAATCCAAAGAAGTCAATTTCAAATTCTGTTCCAATGCAGTAGCAACAGATTTGGATTCCTCCAAACTAGTATCTTTGATTAACTGAAGTGCATACTTCCTTTGATTCAAAAAATATACATTCCTTTGACCTCAATACTTCAATTCCCAAGAAATACTTAAGTTCACCTTAAATGAAGTGCATACTTTATTTTATTCAAAAGTATACCTTCCTTTGACCTCAATACTTCAATTCCCAAGAAATACTTTAAGTTCACCCAAATCCTTCATCTTAAATTGGCTATTCAACATTTGCTTTAACTCAGTAATCAATTCACTACTATCACCTGTTATTACCAAATCATCAACATAAACTAATAACAAAGCCATTTTACCTTGTTGCCTCTTGATGAACAAAGAGTAGTCATACTTGCTCTGAACATAGCCAGTTGAAACCAAGGCTTCTGTAAGTTTTAGATTCCATTGCTTGGAAGTTTGCTTAAGGCCAGACAATGATTTTTGCAGTCTACATACAATCCACTCCCCCTGACTGCAAAAACCTTTAGGTAGCTGCATATAAACTTCCTCAGAAAGATCTCCTAGCAAAAAAGCATTGAAGACATCCATTTGCAACAATGGCCAATTGAAGGCAGATGCAAGAGCTAAAATGGTTCGAATGGTAACCATTTTGACCATATGAGAGAATGTATCAACAAAATCAATTCCCTCATGTTGATTATAACCTTTAGCAACCAAGCGAGCTTTATATCTCTCAACCTCACCTGATGCTTTGTACTTTACTCTGCAAACCCACTTACATCCAATAGGAACTTTTCCTGGTGGTAATAGAACAAGGGACCAAGTTCTATTAGATTCTAATGCATGAATTTCCTCTTTCATTGCTTGAACCCAAAGTGGATCTTGAACAACCTCAAAATAAGATTGAGGCTTAAAAATTTTAGAAATGGAAGACAAAAACACTTGAGTATTAATGGGTAAATGAGAATAAGAAAGAGAACTGAAAGCTGGTGAAGAAGATTGACAAGAACATACAAAATTATTTAACCAAGAAGGAGGCTTAGATACTCTAGAAGACTTCCTGGAAGAGGCATGTGCACTTATTGAAGCAGAAGACTGGACTGGAACTTGAGAATTATGTTCAACATCAACAGAAACCAGTTCAGTGGGAACATTATGATGAGAAACAGAGGTTTGAGAACTTGGAGAGTTTAACACCAAAAAATCACCATCAGGAACAAAAGGAGTTGATGGGAAAAAACAGAAACAAAATCATAAAAGGAAGAAGATTGATGAAAAGGAAACTGATCTTCATGAAACTTAACATCTCCACTAATGAATAATTTTTTTTTGAATTAAGATTAAACTACAAATAACCCTTTTGAGTTGGAGAATATCCCAAAAAAACAGAAGCAAAGGCACGAGCGTCAAACTTATCACTAGGATTGAGATTTGTTGCAAAAAATAAGCATCCAAAAACTCTAAAATGGTCATAAGAAAGTGATTTATGATATAATAGTTCAAAAAGGGTTTTCCGTCTCTTTAGCAGAGTCATGCGACCGATTGCTAATTCCACTATGTATTTGATTATTGTTGAGTTAATCGATTGACGGAATCGGCCAAGAGGGGTGAATTGGCAATAAAAATTTTGGTGGAAGCTTTTGCAGAAAATTGAAAGAAATTGCACAGCGATTTAGAGTGGTTCGACTTTA